TGGCAAATGTGTTAAACACTCACGAGTGAAAGATGAGGTGTAACCATGGAGAATGTTGTTTTTCACACAGGACAGCTGAGATGAATCTGAGGCAGCGTTCGCCRAGTAGGAGCACATTCTTCACAGCAGTGATGCCCACCCTATACAGTCATCGAGCAAGGTATTTACAAGAAATAAGTAACTTGATTACTATCATTACTAAGAATGCCCTGCGTTATAGKCTGCTTACTGCTTTTGGAGCGGTCTCTAGTCCACTTGGCATTCACACATACAATCGAACCATCCGTTCACTTAAACCAAATTGAGACCTAGGTTTTTAGGCAGACCGGAGTTTACTTTTGTGGTCCGCATCAGAGCTCGATTACATGTTCACACCTTTCCAAATAAACTGGACATAMTGGACAAGGAAATTAGAGTATGATTAAAGCAGACTAAACAGGGCTGTGTGATGACGCTCTTAGTGTCATTTTCTGTTTTCCCTTCACAGTAAATTTGAAAGTCATCACACTTGATTTGTTTAAGCTGTGTTCTTCCAAAGAAGATATTCAACTCATATTCAATGGTTCAGTTTTAAACCAGTCAGTGTAAAAATGTGGTACTTTTTACAACTTATTTGCATTTAGTGTGCACAGACTAAGTAACAGACAAAGGCATAGACAGTTGTTCCAAATTTATTACCCCAYTGACCTGGAGAAGAAACTGACCAGATTCCTTCAGCTGAACATTGGGACAAAGTCCAAAGTCCAGGTTGGTGTCATAACCTAGAATTTTACACCACATCCAAAAAGTATTTATTCTCTCTTACATGTCCTCACAATATACCTTTTTTTTCCCTGACCCCTCTAACCCTGGATTGTGCCCTACTGTGTTTTGTACTCTAATCCATGCCCAGGTCCTTTGGTAAATCACCCTCATAAATAAGGTCAGCACAAAGAAAGAGGGATATGCTGTGTGAAAATCTAATCAAAGGAATTAAATCAGGATTTTTTTGTGCACTGGTAAGAATCCTTTTTCTGTGTAGAGGGTCAAGTACTCTTCATTTTCTTCTGATCTTTGTGAAAGGTGGAGGACGAGTGGAAAAAAGTTGTATTAAAAATAAGGACTTCACTTACGTGAGTAGAATGAAAAGGTTAATTGGCCTTTTTTCCATCTGTAGTTTTTGAGGGATTTAAAATATGTCCAATGCATCTTACTTGGTTCGTGCTCATGCACATGTATGTGCACCCAACCTCATACAGCTCACACTTGCCCACATACCCACTGAGAATTTTTATTAGAATTCATTAAAAAATGGCACTCTATTGACATTTTCCATCCAGTATAATTGAAACATACATGTATATTTGATTGCAGGTCCAGTTTGGGAGTTCAAGCCGCTTAATCCACTTACACTTTTGTTTGTTTTCTCCATCTTTTTTTTTCTAAACAAGGTGTTCTGTGGAGTAGACAGTTTGAACTGGTCAAAGAGATAAGCAGGTACGTATTTATCATATTAAAACAACTATTATTTATTAAACTTCGGGCATGAAATACCATAAAACACCTTAAAAAGTAGACAAATTAAATGAAGTACTGCTTTTCAACCATTTAGAGTAAATTCACAATCTTGGTCTCTTTTAAAGCTAATAATCTGAATTTCAGCAGTCATACTATTTGTAAATGTAACTAGTATTTGGTATATTGAAGTAAAATACACAAAATAAAGATATTTTTTTCCCTAAATGTTTTTTTTTTATTAATAAAGTATCACAGAATGAAGGGAATGATATATTAATAAACATTTTTTTTCACTGGGCTAAAATATTAATTCCCAACTCAATTCAAATTTGGTAACAGTAGCTTAACATGTGAATATTTGAGACATAGTACAATCCAGCATTTCTCATTTGCATATCTGTACACCTGTACAATTACGTCCAGACTGTACACTTGTCAGTCCGTCACCTGTAGCTTAACCAGGTAGTAACGTATCCACTACTAAAAGCTGTCACAGTTCCATTCTGAGCACTCAGAAGCTGTTTGTTTATGTTCATGAGGAAAGTAAAACTCTTTTTTTTTTGGCGGGGAGAGTAAGCAACTGCATGTCAGTGCTTCTGTTCTGAATAAAAGCCTGGTGCATGTAAACACTTGTTTGCACAAGTTTAATAGTCTACTAAGTTTAGGACTGCATGATGTCYATTTTTATAAGATGCATCTTCATCATCCTGGCTGACAAGTTTGAGTTGAACATGTGTGTTCCCCTTTATTACTTATAATATTGGGCATGTGTGTTTTTATGTTCATTGTACTTTAGCAAATTCTGAGAAATAAAGCCACAAAGTGAGAATGTTTTTGTTTTGGACATTTTTAGAATACCGGTAACACAAATTCATAAATGTTAACACAAATTACTCAAATTAATTTGGAAAGACTAATATGTTGTCTTTTTTAAGAAAACTAAACATTTTTTAAGCTTTCATCAACTAAAACTCGACTAAAACCATTAAACATAAACATGATTAAAACTGACTAAAACCATTAAATATAGCAATGATTAAAACTGACTAAAACTAAGAAGTATTTTTGTTCAAAAGACTAAGACTTACTAAAATTAAAATGGCAGTCAAAAACAACACTGACAGGAAAGTATGTTTTCTATAAAACGATTACAGGGATGACATTCCAGCTGGTAAGATTATTTCAACCTGGAAGGACTGACACACAGACTGAAATTAGGAGGTTTATTGACATGACTGGACCAACATGATTATTGACATGAACGGTATCAGAGTTTGGCGCTCGGACCCTGTCAGAGGACAAGAGCACTGAGTGATGCTGTAATCTCATACGAGTTGCAATGAGTTAAGGGGTAGTAGCCCCACCCCCTCCCAACACTGGTGGTGGAAGTTAAGGGAGGGGTGCCCTTGGATACCAGATGATGAAGGGTGGAGAAGGGGTGGTGGTAAGTTGACAGTCAGCTGGCATGCAGGGGTGATTGAGACAACAGGCTTTTATTCATTGGCAGTCAGGAGCTGATTGGACGTGGCTGGGCTTGCGATGATTGGACGCAGCTGGATTTGAGACGTGGAGGTCGGCAGGAGCAGGCGAGGCAATGAGTCTTCCAGAGTTGAACTTTCATTTAAACTCCATTTCTGTCATCCTCACAGACACACACTACTGATCCTAGTACAAGTTACAAATTTTAACACATAGACCAAACAAGGATATGAATAAAACAACGTGAGTTGCTTTTCAGCTTACCTGCAGATGACAACAGTGTTTGTTTACTTTGTTGCTGTTGATAATACGTTTCCTCAAAGGTATTTTTATCCAAAAAGGGCTGCATTGACAAGTAGTATTAGGAGCTCAGCATTTTCACCAGTTGTTTGCTTTGTTGCTGCCGAGTGCCTGCAGGAATCACGAGCAGGGTGGGGAGGTGTGCCCTGTGATGAGGAAGCTCGGTTCGGAGACACAGCCCAGAGGAGGAGCTAGTCCCAAAAGGTGGTTCTAGTCCCAACYRGTCGTTTTTGCTCCCCTGCCCGGCTGCCTCATGTCACTGCACGATTTATCAAACATGTATGAATGAGTCAAAGCAACACTCTGGGCATGTTTTTGATGAGAGGATAACATTATAACATGATATAAAGCTCAAAAAGGTTTATTTTACATGATATTGTCCCTTTGATAAAAGCAAATCATTAAAAAGTATCTCTCGATTGTAAATAATAATATTATTAATTTTAAAATAAGTGAAATAATAAAGTTCACTAAATTGTTTCTCTTATTATGGAGTATTTTATTTCCTGTCTAAATTACTACAGTTTAATTAGCAAATTGCTGCCTGATTGGTACAATTAGGGGACTACTTCCTGAACAACATATTGAACTTGTAATTGTAAAGTCACCTTTTAAAAGACAGCTCCACATGTAACCTTGGTATGAACTCCATAGTTTCACTGATGCTATCTCAATGATACAATGTCTGTCTTATCAGCTGCAAGTGATTTTTCAAAATAAGCCCAATCAATGAGGAGATCCTTTGTCAAGACGATGGTGTGAGAATGAATGAGGCTGAATTAACAAATGAATACATGTATAGTAATGTGAACGTAATGAGCAAGTGTAAAGTATTAGAATCAAAAAGTAAAGAATAAGAAAAAATAAACACGCATGCACAATTGTAATCATTTCAGGAAATCAAACTTACAATATGATGACATCAGAATCAAAATCCCCCTCAGGTAACCAATATGTTTGCACCATGCTGAACGCCCTGCCTACTGTACTTTGATGATTCTGTAACATGTCCTGTTACACCCTGTGTT